GCAAAAATCCATATACAGTATCAGACGAAATATATTTTCGGGTTTTTATGATTATTGTTATGATTTACAAAAGAAGAAAATTACGATTCTATTAGCCTTTAAGGCAAACATCACTACAATCTAATGGTTACGATCATTGATGTCTCGCAAAAATAGTGTCCACAAAAAAACTAAACATTTAAATGAGTAGAAAAAAGTTTGTGACAAATAAAAAATACTATTATTTACTGATAAGAAGGTTTGATATGTTTGGCTTCTTGTCATCTCATTACTGCAACTAATAAAATATTTGACAATCAGTGATCTCTCTCTCTCTCTCTCTCTTTCTCTCTCTCTCTCTCTCTCTCTCTCTCCATCGAGTGATGACTCAAAAAGAGTAACTAAACTAAACGATCAAATCTATAACTACTTCTTATTTGGGATTCAAATGTGTTTCTCGTATTTCTCTCATGAATCGCAATATAACTCTTAAATAGTAATAATAAATACAAATAAAAGCAAAGATAGAAAGCCATAGAAATAATAAGAGAATAACGAAATAAAAATAAAAGTTTTTGAGCGAAAAAAGCAATTCATCCGCAATATAACCACAAGTCTCTGTACCTGTAATTTAATGATAGATTAGAAAAAAGTAAACTACCAGTGCCTGTATGCCTATGAAGCTCTCATGTGATTATGAGTGTCGTGTCGTTAATAAGTCTTCTTTTGGGCCAATAATGAGCCATTAATTGCTGGAATCGATGTGACCATCAAATCAATACTAAAAATAGTGGCGAATATTAAACGAAAAAAGTTTTGTTACTTTTCTCTCATTTGAGAAATTTTTGATTCGCTTTTGTTTTTCATACTCTTTTCCCATACAGTCATACCTGTATTGATATGTCGTTTAATGCGATATTTATTCAAAATGAAAAAAGGTTTGCGAATAACGAGAAAATTATGGCCGCAATACTGTATGACTGCATTCCAATCAGATATCAGTCCTGTTATTAGGAGCTACCGGAGCTGTGTCTGAGAAGTACTGTTGATTCATATGCAACAAAACAACTCTTTTTTGCCTCTCATTTGCTGCAAAATATTTCTAATTATCAGTTAATTTTTCCAACAGTTGTTTTGTTTATGATTTTCAGACTCAATGCTAAACCGTTTTGTTAGAAACAACTCTTTTCTCGTGAATTGTATGGAGTTCTTGAAAGTCTCTATCAATTGGTATCTCTTATGACATGTTTGGTGAGCTCTAACAGCACACAAGCATTCATTATGTATACCGTATGCGCTGCCAGTGTTGCACTCATAGAGTATACACAGCACTGGGATGTTGTGTGTGTGTGTTGAAGCCAAAGCCATCCTACGTTTTTTTAATCAAAAATCTCAATCCACACCCAAATCGGTTTGTGATCGCAAATCATATCGATTTTAGTTTTTCTTTTGGCATTTTATATGAGAGACACGAAAGCCTTCGCTATCATAGAGTCGATGCTAACGCCAAAAATGCATTCATGAAAAACTTTTTTCAAACACAAATGCCATGCATTGGTGTGAATATAATCAAAGTCTTGGATTTTAGTTGTTTTGAGAGCAAAAATTTCCTTGAAATCTATGCTTTAATTTATTATTTATTATTCAGTTTATTATGTTTTTTCAGTTCAAATAAACTGCTTGCATATAATATACAGATCAAAGTAATTTTTATAATAAATATATTCCTCATATTTATTAAATATTAAAATATGATAACAATTGACTTATATATTTTCAAATAATTACAATTCACAGAGTGACTGAGAACATAACATAATATTATAAAAACATTTATTCCGCTTATTTATTCATATATAAAATAAATATCACTTTTCAGAGCAAATGTATTCCGAAGTTTGATTTGAATTGAAAAGACAATTACTGATTGACGAGTGCCTTATAATCTATAACTATTGATACATTCGGGAGTCTGGGAAAGGGTCACCCTTTTAGTAGGTGTGCACTACTCTGTAGAGCGCTGGGAGCCCGAGGGCAAGGGGTGGTCGAGTAATACAGGAGCCGAAAGAGCAAAAAAAATATATATGTAGAAAACATTTCGGAACCAAGAATTGAATTGAAGGTCAATTGAAGTTCACATATAGTTATCGTTTGACAGTTTGATCACGCAATCAGTGCACAGATTATATACGCTCAACACTATAGTATAGCATACCTGTGTGAGCACATCCACTACACTGCTATACCTGTGCTGTGTTGTGTTCGGCTCAGAGGTATATAACATGTAAATACCTAAATGTGAGGCACACAACACTTGTGGCCAATTTTGTTTTTAATTTTTTCTTGCACTCATCCACTTAACTTTGTGAGCCTTATTTACTCGGCAGAGCACCGGGAGTTAATGAACACATGTCTTATGGGAGAATGATTAAGAAAAAAATATAATAAAATTCTGAAATAGTTTTTTGTTATATAAAGCTATTATAGCCTAAAGAGAGTATAAAGAGAGGGAGAGAGAGAGATAGAAGAGAGTAATAAAGTGTGAGAGAGAATAGAGAGAGAGAGAGAGAGAGAGAGAGAAGAGTGTAAAGGCATTGCTAGTAATGAGACGAATGATTATTATTTAATACAATTATTTTTATGCCTCAAAATTAATCGCAACACTTGTTGTGCAAGTCTTGCATTTCACGTCAAAGTTGATCCAAAAAAGTGAGAGATAATCGGTTTGTTAGGTCTTCACGACAACTCATAATAATAGGAAAACACGTCTAATTTTATAGTCATATCCAATAGTTGTGTAACTCTTATGTCTTATGTTTGTGTTTTGCGTATATATGCGCACGAAATGACATAAACGCATAGCAATGAAATGCCAGCCCTTAGGCATCAACAACACAGAGAGCACAGGTAGTTGTGATGAGACGAGAAAGATGACGAGTGAGAGAAAAAAGATAACTATAGCCAAGGATTGCATGGCTTTGAGCAGAGTTTGTGTGCTATAAAGTACACAACGATTTCGATTTTGTCGGACACTGTTCTCGCTTTTTCTCATACACTCCGAGTCTCTCTCGCATCTCATCTCCGGTGCTCTAATACAGGAGCGCACAGACACTACAGACCCTACAGAAGCGACTATTCACCTCTGCTTTAGACCAATAATTGGACGGCTAGTGTAGAGCCCTCCGAGGCAATAGTGATACTCTTATTATATGAGATGCATAAGACTTTTTTGCATGACTTGACAACCATCACATTCAGGCTCATTGCAGCTATTTTTAATAACCTCTCTCTCTCTCTCTCTCTCTCTCTCCCGCTCTCTCCCTCACTAGCCATAGTGTGTGAGAGAGTACAGTAAGGCTAAGAGCGCACACATTAATAATAAATAACAATCTTTTAATCCAAGAGAAGAATAATAATGTCGAGTAAAAGAAAATTACTTGACTTTACTTTATTTGAAACCCTGAACTCAAAATGCATTATACAATACACAGAGTCCGCGATATAATTATCGCCGTTTATTGCCACAGAAGAGACATTAAATGTTTTTATTTAAATAAATTTCTCACACAAAACACTCGTAACACATCATCTCTCTCTCTCTCTCTCTCTCTCTCCTCTCAGATATCTAAATGCTATGTAATATTCAGGTAATGTCTGTGCGATTATTATTATTATTTCTCTTTATTTTGCTTACAGTTTATCGCACATAAAGTCTCTGTTCATCTGTGATCTAATTAATTCTTATCTCTCATATGAATCTCACATTTCTCTCTTCGCTTCACTGACTTCTCTCTTCTTCTCAACTCTTAAATTAAATATAATTCTTGTCTTTTGGCTAAATATGTGGAGAAAAATAAATACTTTAATAATAATCCAATTATTTATAATGCACGGTATACGCCAGCAGTATATGTGTACAGAAAAATTAATGCATTTTTCATAAAAAGCAATACTTTTTGCTTAGTTTTTAAATACATGGACACATTTATATGTATTTTGATTTGAATCCATAGGTGAAACCACACGCCTGTCAGCTCTGCAGCAAAAGTTTGTAAGTATTTTCCCCACAAAAAACTGTTTTTACTATTTTTTAATAACATTTTTGCAAAAATGATATATATTTTCATAAATGAGAAGCAATTTATTAAATTATGACTTTTAGGACGAGAATATAAATAATAATAAAAAGAGTTGGAAATTATTTTTTGCAGTAAAATTAGACACTAAATTATTGCTACAGAATATGATATATTCGTATAATTTTTCTCTTGATTTTGCATTTTCTTATTTAATTTTTGTTGTTTTCGTGCAAATCATACCAATGGATCCGCTTTTAATTTTTATTTTGTTTGTCTCTTATTTTTTTAGTCCAACTCCGGGTGATCTGAAGAGCCATATGTAAGTATAGTTCACTTTATTTGATCACAAAATGCATTTAACTCTAGTTTAAAGAACTCTTTAAGAACTGATTATATATTTTTTGTTTTGTGGGAAAACAGAGTTTTCTTTTACTACTACTTCTTCTTCTTATATAATATTATTTTAAAAAGATTTCAATCTCTAATTGATTGACGATTTAGACGTTATTCACACAATTAATTTACATTATGATTACTGTTTAAACAAAGCACAAAACTAAATGGTCTAAATTGTAATGCTCATTTTGTCTCCCTTTCCACCGTTCAACAGGTATGTGCACAATGGCTCCTGGCCCTTCAAATGTCAAATATGTAACCGAGGATTCAGTAAACAGACAAACCTTAGAAATCATGTAAGACATGTCACCAAACATATAATTATCATTTTCCATAATTAAGTATTTATTTAAATACTGATTACTGTTTGTCACAAAAATCTAATTCTTGTCTCTTTTGTCGATTATATTTGCATTTAAAAGACTAATGAAATGTTTTTATTTTCTCTCTCCCTTTCCACAGATGTACTTACATTCCGGTTAGTATTCATATATTTAATTCATATTATATTTTATCAGTGCTCTCAACCCGTTAATTCATATTTAAATTGTTTATTAAACGCTCATAAAAGTCCCAAATGCTTATAACATAAACAATAATACAAATAAATAAAATTAAATTAGAGTTACATTTAATGAGTTATTATTTAATAAATTCAGTTAATAAAGAGGGCATTTATTTATTGTTTATACAAAAGTGTATTTTTCGGTGCATAACCACTAATATTGACTACTAGATTTTAAACTAATTTTTCAAACTAACACTTAAAACCTGCTAAGAATACTAATAACGGAGTATAATTCAAAACACTGTATAAAAAGCCCAAAAACTCTTGAATACAGTATAAAAAACTATAGAAAATTCTTTGGCGCTAAGAAAAAAAGTATTTTACTGTAACTACACATGAGTTATGTTAGAAACACACATTGAAATTGCTGTTAACTGGTAAACGTCTCCATCCTATTAGTGTCTGCGCCCACACAAAAATCACCACTCGTTTAGCTATATGTGAGTAAATATGGGCATAAGATTAGTGGCGAAACAGAGATTACAATCTAATTAAATGAGCAAAAAAACGTTTTTAGCGAAAAATATATCTCATATTTAACACAACATTAAACTCTCGCCTCGCGATTGCTGGCGAAATAAATGAGTCAAAAATGAGTGACTTTTCGGCGAGTTTTAGGCGAGAAAAATAAAAATCGTGTTCAAAGAGAATGAGAGAAAACTGTATTATTTGTAACCATTTGATCTTCACTCAAATCTGATGATATATTGTGTTTTGTATGCGTGTGTTGTGCAGGCGATCGGCCGCACGAGTGCGAGGTCTGTCAGAAGAGGTTCGCTTTGGCCTGCAATCTGAGGGCTCACCTCAAGACCCACGAAGAGCCGCAGAACGAGAAGTGTTTGCGCTGTTCGCGAGAGTTCCCGACGGCCACCGGTTTAGTGACATTCGGCTGCTGTCACGAGTGCTATCACAACAGTCACGGCATTCCCCTCTTGAGACACAAGAACTGATGCCTTCAGAGCCGCATATCTCGAGAAGAATAGCGAAGATTCTTACGAAACAAAACCAAAAGAGAGATGAAAAATGTGAGCCTTTTATGACTGTTATATCACACGAACCCCACATCCACTGTATATATGATACAAAAATGCTGATTAAATGATTATATAATACTCACCTCATATTAACTGACATTTAAGACTCACACATAATTTTGGACACACATTGAGACACATCTGCCGTGAAATGCACCACAAATATAGCAAATGAAATGAAAAACAAATATAAATCTCGAATAAAACGTTTTTTATTTCTTATACATAATGTATAGTAAAAATAAACCACAAATCTTATTTAAAGTACAACTGTTTCACCTGTTTTTTTCACCTCCACTATAGCACCAGTAGTTTTTTGTGTAGTACTTAATATAGTAGCGCTTAAATTAGAGAATTATTGCTCAAAAAAGTATATATATTTCACAGTCAGTGGTAGACTGTTGTATATATCAAACACTAATCTACTTATTATTCTTTCTCTTTCTTTATCACTAGTTTTTTTGTGTATAAAAAAGTATTTTTTATATTGAAAATAATTATAGATATTCTCACCATTAGTATAGCGGTTGGAGACTCTTATTATTGCTATTATTCTACTTATAATTTGCTGTCTTTTGGTATTAAAGAGAAAATAAGCGCTCAGAACAAAAACCTCACAAAACCATTAATGTTTGTTAGCATGAAATCAAATTTTATATAACAATCATAATAATGAAGTAAAACAATGAAGAGATTGTAAAACATAATTATTAAGTCGTATTCACAATACTCTATGAGAGAGCAATACACGAGTGAAATGCGGGAGAGAGAGAGAGAGAGAGAGAGAGAGAGAGTCCTTAATACTGTAATGTCTAGTGTTTCGTATGGTTTTTTACATTGTATTTGAAAGCAATTTAAGTTTTTGTTTCTCTGTATTCTCTTTTTTATATAACTATTCTCTATTCTGATGTCTAATCCCTGACCTGTAATTATACAGTACCTGTGCTCTCAAGAATTATTGCGTTTAGAGAAACGTTACAGTAATTTGTTTGGTAGGAAAATATTTGGCACTCATATGTTACAAAATGTATTACCGTTTACAATACTATACTAATTCGTATAAAAAAATCCTTTATAATAATACAAACGTATTTAACTTTAACGAAGTGATTGTCTCGACTCTCTCTCTCTCTCTCTCTCTCTCTCAACACAATAGCACTCTTTCAATGTTTATACAAAACGATTATTATATGTATTTTTGTTATGATTATGAGTCTCACTTTAATGCTTATATAATAATAATATTAATGTAATTATTGTGTTTCTCTCTCTCTCTCTCTCTCTCTCTCTCTCTTAAAATACAAGTAAAAAATACCACTGAAAACTATAACTCAAACAAACATTTAAAGATCCAACAAAATAATATAACAACACATTATTTGCCTTAATAGATTATATTGTATAAATATATATTGTTTTATTTCATTATTATCATTGCATCCTTTGCTCAAACATACACTCGATTTATAACTCGATGTTTAGAAATAACACTAAACGACAGAATATTATTTGACTGTATAATCAAAAGTACACAAAACACCGAAGAATTCAATGTATTTATACCATAAGTGCCACAGAAATGAATAAAAATATCATTAAATGAATACCAATATTATTGATATGACATGAAAAGTATATTAGAAAACAATTTGCTAAATAAAGTTTACTAAACAAAATGTTTGAACACTAATTCTCAAATCATATATAAACAAAAAATCATTTATGTATTATAGTATTGAAAACCATTATTTTATTATTGAATCTCATACTTTGCCATTCATTAAAGCCATTAATATTTAGTAGTAATAATATATCTGTGAATTAAATTGTAAACATATATTGATATTAATATACAAAAAGTATTTTTATAAAGTTAATATTACACATAAAATTATTAGCAAAACCCTAACGCTATATATATTTTTTATATACAGTATTATTACCATGTATTTTTAAATGACTATTTTTGTAATACAATTATTTTTGTTAATACTGAGAAAAAAGTTGACAATAAAAACATTTGAAATCAAATATGAAATCGAAATTTCATTAAAATATATATTTATTTCATCAAAATTCAAGATCAAGAGCTCTTTGTCTCAGTCTTTCCTGTCTTTTGAAGGCTTATGCGCTTTGAGAGACACTAACCATAAAATTATCTCAAAAATTAAATCAAAGATTAAATTAAAATTTCTTTTTATTTGTTCACTTATACTCCAATCAACAAGTGTTTGGTGTATGTGCACAGAGAATGGGCTATTACTATGGGTGAGAAAACTATTATAAACTATTCGACACTACATTCCATATCCCATTCCCTAATCAATTCGTAGCCAAATATGTTATTAAGAGAGTATAGAAAAAATGTATAACTTTTTTTCCAAACTGATATATTCTGCCGTAATATTTAAGTCACTACTATTTCCCACAATGACCTCGATTACATTTGCCTCGATTACAGTGGAGTTTAATGTTGCAAAAGAGTAGTATATTTGGTGCTCTGCTCTGTATTTATAGCTCGAAGGCTCAATCAATTAAAGGCTATATTACGCCAGAGTTGGTGCAGCCATTGGAGTGACATTTTCCGGCTCATAGGAGATAGAGAGCCTCATATTATGAGAGTGGCATATATGAGAGGCACAGGTAGTTTGTTAGACAGAATTGGCTACGGATTGAGCTTTATTTGCGATCATAATGAAGACTCCATATACTCTCTCTCTCTCTCTCTCTCTCTCTCTCTCTCCCATACAAACTGCTCGTACAGTATATGATAGAGTGATGTGGAGTGGAGTGCGAGAAAGTCGACGATAATTGAAATTTGCGGCAAAAGATTATATAAAGAAATATATAAATCTGTTTCGCTATCTTTACTACTATTGGTATTTCACTTAAACTCTGTATATAATTATGATATGGTGTCGACTCGACACCAGATATTGTTTAATAGCTTTTAATTGAGTCGCATCGCGAAAGTGGCCGCAAATATATGACACAAATAAGCTACTGGTGACTGACTGTCACCATAACAGAGTAGAAAAAAGTAGAAAAATTTTAATTTAGAAATAAATATTTTCGTTACAGACGGAGCAAAAAATCGTTTTTAATGACAGGTCTCTCACAGAATATATTTTTATTGCTTCTAATAATAAGTGTTTTTACATTCCGTATGAATGATGCTATCCATAGGTAAGGGCATAGGGAGAGAGTGTATGAGTGGAAAGGGAGAGGGAAAACGTGCCGACACTCCAGAGGACCACTCATAAGACTCTTTTGTTTCTTTGATTCTCACGTTTAAAGTGAAAGAAATAACAGATATTTTTGAGTTGACTCTCAAATCATAGTTTGTATTGAAAGCTGTTGTGCTTTATTAGTGCTCTTCCACTGTATAACTACTGTATTGTGGAAAGGCATCGCATTTGATGACTGACTCCCAGGTATTATATTTTGCAAACATATTCTCACACCGGAGTCAGTGCACAGGGGTATAGGGATGTCATGTAATTTGCAATACTATTATTTAGGTTAAAATGAAATCTCGAGCGCCCGGTGATTGAGCGCCGGTAAGGGGACGAGAGGCAAGACGTCCAAAATAATATGTTGGGAAAATGTTTTGCATAATATATCTATAGTTCAATAATATTAAGTATAAAATTATGCAATTAGCTATGAACTTTAATCTCGGCACCGGGAGATGTGGTATTTATAGTTCATCAGACACACAGACATTTCTATATCTGTCACACAATGGAAACGATATAATGTTATTAATATATGATTTGAATATTTTATTTATTCATATATTTCTCTCTCGTCTCATATCGAGATATATAAACTGTTTCTCTAAACTATACGATCCACTGATGAGTAGTAGTTATCTCATCGTCTTCAGGGCCCAAAAAACATTGCCTTCCAGTGATACCATACCTCTTCATAGATAAATATAT